GCTGCACATCCTTCTAGTTGCTGTATGTGGGACGCGGCCCCAGCATGGCTGGAGAAGCAGTGCGTTGGTGCGCACCCGGGATCCGAACCTGGGCCGCCAGCAGCAGGGCACACGCACTTAACCGCTAAGCCACGGGGCCGGCCCCTAGGGTTAACAATTTTTAATGGTAAAGATGCATATAAGCTGATCAATATATAAGCCAAAATAATATACCTAGTTTTACACACACACGGAGTTGTCCTAATTTTACTTGACCCTCATAACGGTTAGTATTTTATAAGGAAAGAATCCACATTTCCTGTATTCTATGGTTGGGGAAAATGACCAAAATTTTACAGGAAATAAACGTTACAAAATAAAACCCTAGAGAGGGTTATCTTATCAGTTTCACAGTTGCTGAGTGATGGAATTCGTAAGTAGAGAATAGTCTGTTGAATCATACAAAAATGAAAACATTGTGAATATTAAAGGCTTAGTAAAACCAGCCTATTATGTTTAAACTGGAAAGAAAGAAATTCCATTAAGATCCTCCTGCCATATGAATGTTAAATACCTCAGAGCAGTGATCAGCTGCTTTACATCTCCACTAAGGATAAAAAAAGAAAAATTGAATTTGTAAGAAGGATTTCATTCAGAGGTAAGCAAGAACTTGGAGATAATGAGCTAGTTTTAATCATTGGCATTGGTTTTTGAGGGTTTAAAGCAATTTATAAAAATTTTTAAATCAGTTTTTAGAAAGTTATTTTACTCAGTTTTTAAAATATGATTATATTTGTCTCTCCATGATAGATTTCTCTCACCATTCTGGTGGTGGGGAAGCTGGTGTAGCAAGTAGTGCCTAGCCTTTTTCAGGCTTCCTCTTGCATTCATTCAGCCCATATTTATGTTAAGCACTGACTGCATGCTGGGTATTACAAAAGAGGGTATGGACATAGAGCATACCGTCCAATGAAGGAAACAGACAAAAGCATAAAGCCCCCAGCCTATCATCATAATAGTGATGCACTCCATATACTTGTGCTATGAGATGGCTCTTGTCATGGACGTGACTTATTTTCATTATGAATGACACTCAGATGACACTATATAGGCTTTTGTTTATATTTTTTAATCACTGAAGCGTAGCTATAATAAAATAGACTCACTGGAATAATTTTATTATAGAACTACAATGACTTTTTGCAGTGAAGAACTAATACGTTTAATTGATCACTAATGTGATTTATCCTGGTGCGAAGTTTTCTGTTCAAATTTGTCTCTTTGGGCTCTTGATGTTTTTCTTAAATATTTGCCAGAGCTGTTAATGTAGGATAGTGGTTGACCCCTTGTATTTGATGCTGCTGTTTTTTCCTAATATGTGGTACCTTCTTTTTTTTTTTTTTTTTTTTTTTTTTCCCCAAAGCCCCAGTAGATAGTTGTATGTCATAGTTGCACATCTTTCTAGTTGCTGTATGTGGGACGCGGCCTCAGCGTGGCCGGACAAGCGATGCATCGGTGTGCGCCCGGGATCCGAACCCGGGCCGCTAGTAGCTGAGCACAAGCACTTAACTGCTAAGCCACGGGGCCGGCCCTGTGGTACCTTCTTGATTTGTATCATGTAGTTTCCTTTGCCCAGGACGTTAGATTTCAATAAATTGTAATCTATCAACCTTTTCCTTTGCAATTTCATGTCTTGTTTCAAAACTGAGAAAATTGTCTGTTATTTTTTCTATAATTTAATTCTTTAATCCATTGGTCACAGATTATTTGGAGGGGATGAATATATATGTTTTTCCTTACAGACTGCTTTTCCTGGAACATTTTCCTCTACCCTGAGGTCTCTGAAGAGCAGTCAACCAAATCGAATGAACGACTATTTCCTGAGCACCAAGACAAAGTATAAGATGCAGTCATTAATCTAATTTGGAAGCTAGTCCTAACATAAGAATGCTAAAAGTAAAAATTTTTAAATAAAATTTGAGTATAGTGGAAATGTTTTCTCAAACCCCTATGAAATCAGTTGCTGAATTTTGTACACACAGCAATTGCGTTTGGAATGGAAAGAGAATGTGATTTTGATGGGGGTAGTCAGAGAAGGCTTTACTGAGTAGGAGGTAGGATTTAAATTAGCACCTAATTTAAAGTGCTAATTTAAGATGGGTTAGATTTGAGTAAAGTGGAAGAGGAGGAGTGGGAGGATTCAGGGTGTGTGGAAGGACATGAGCAAAAGGGCAGAGATGGCAATTCTTTGTGCAGGAACAGTGAAGGAACTAGCTTTGTTGAGAATGGGGCTTTCAGATTAGAGATGGAGCCAGATTGAAGAGAGACCTGACGACCAGGCCTAAAAGATGGAGCCAACCATTGATGTGAATATTAGTCTGAAAGCAGTTTCTAAAAGGGTTTGTAAGAGGGGTGACTAGGGGGCCAGCCTAAAGTCCACTGCAATACTTGAGAAGTGAGGTGGATAAGGACCAGAATTCAACAGTGTTGTGGAAATGGAAAGCAGGGTCTTGATTTCATAGTTCAATTACCAAGGTAGCATCACCGAGGCTCAGGAGTAGAGGAGGAAGAAGAGCTGAGGATGACTCAGGCTCTGTGACAGGGCGAGGGGGTTGAAAGTACATTGAACAGAAATAAGTCAGGTTATAGTTTTTACATTGTTATGATGATGGCATCCTGCTGTATAGCTTGCAGCAGGAAGTTTGAGGCTGGAATTTCAGAGAAGGATATGGACTTGTGATAGAGAACTCGGCATCAGCTACATGGAGGTGTAAATTAAAGTCTTAGGAGATGATAGATCTCAAAGGGAGATGCTAGAGAAAGATAAGAGTATCTAAGGCTGTAGCACCGTCGTTGTATTTTTCTCCAGAAGTTATCTGTGCTTGAGAGATTCTGTGAGCTTACCTATCGCTGTACGCCCTTTTCTTCAGGAGGGGTAGTGAGAAGAGCATAGACTTTGGAGTCAAACACTCTGGATATGAACCTGGAGCCAACTCTGACTCTTAGAGACGATTATGGATGTAAAGTGCCTGGCTCATAGGAGGCACACACACCGAGTGTTCTTTCAAGTGAAATGAGCATTTGAGGAATGAGAGGAGGAAGAGTAGCCCAAAAGAGAGGGATGTGAAGAGTCAAGCCCAGATGGCGTGGTCTTTCAGAACAAAGGACAAGGGGGTAGCGGTCAGTGGGGTCCAACCCTACAGAGACGTGCAGGAGAGTGAGGACCCACAAGCTCAGTTTTTAATTTAGTGCTCTTTTCACTACTAATTTCTGCAAACTCCGTGAAAAACTCCATTTTTCTCTTGTTTACCACCATCAGAATGTGGCACCAAGTAAGCGTTCATTACATATCCAGTGGCTAGATGGATGGAAGGAAGGAAAAGCACACTTTTCAGAGGATATGTTACTTTTGTAATTAGGAAAAAAACATTTTAACCGAGTGCACTTTGAGTAAGATATAAAGTGTATGTTATGATTGCAGGGAAACAGGATTAACGATGAGAGTTTAAGACTTACCTGAGTCTTACCATGTTCCACATAATGAGTATGTTGATTGAGATTTTATTTTTTTTACATAACGTACTGTTCTCTTCAGACAAGAGAACAGTTAAGCAATTTTGAAACTATGGGCTGAAACAACGGTGAATTTCAGTAAGTTTTAAAGTAGTACAACCCTATTTCTTGATGGCTGGGTTTTTCCTGAACTTGTTAAATTAAAATGCCTCTCATTTAGGAAAATAAGCCTGAAACTAAGATTTTAAGAAGTTGAAAACAATCTTTCATCCCAGTAGAGTATATTGCAAGTCTAATTGATAAAGGTTGAGTCTTTTTGTTTTTTGGTTTTTTGTTAATTAGTATTTTGGGAAAGAAATTTTCCAGAGGTCTTCTCAAGAATTACAGTATTTTAAGAAATAAAATCTCTATTAGTCAGGGTTCTCCAGAGAAACAGATCCAACCAGATGTATAGAGAGAGAGATTTGTTTTAAGGAATTGGCTCACATAGTTGTGGAAGCTAGCAAGTACAAAATCTAGAGGGCAGGACAGCAGGCTGGAGACCGAGGGAATTCTGCCTAATGTGATACAACTCTCCCGAGTACAACCAAAAACGCACTAATTCCTATCCCCGGAAGAGGAAGCAAAGTCCTTGGGTCATGTCCTTGGGTCATGCTTATTCTTCTTCTTGATATCTTGTAACTTAAATACTACATTAATGACATTTAGATACTCTGATATAAAGTCAGTATAACTTATATTACATAATAAGGGAATAAGAGAGGGAAGAAAACAAAGATATTTTACATATATATAGATACACACATGCATAACAAAATAAGGAGGAATACTCATGACAATTACAGTTCTCACTTCTGTAACTAGTCATGTGGTTATAGCTGGTGTTTATAACCACCTTCTTCCACTACTCATTCTGTATTCCCTTTGCCTTCGGCAAGCACCTCAGCTGGTCCTGGTTCTTTGCTTGGTGGGATGACCCAAACCTTCATTCGTGAAAGGTCTGTGCCATTATTAGTCCTGCCTGGATTGAGTTCTTGTGGTTTTCCATTTCCGTAATCACAGGGCAGGGTAATACTAAGAGATTCCCTAAGGATCTCCTGTATTCCAGACATACTCTTCCTTACCTCCATCCTGGAGTAGCAGTCCAGTTTCCCCTTGGTAGTCAGTCAGTCACCCCAGCCAACACTGTAACTCCCTTCTTTGCCTGTTGATTCAGAGACATGAAGAGCCCAAATTGGCCAGGTGACAGTCTTAACTTCCAGTTCAGTGGAATCATTGTTGTAATTTAAGTTCATCTTCTAAATATGTATTTAAGTAGGGACACATTTATTCTAAATGCACCTATTATGCAATTAATTCACCTGCAATAAAGTAAAATAGGGTTATTAAGCAGAGATAGCATGTTGTATCATTTATCATCAAATTAGGGAGGCAAGATTCTCTAATGCAGTGTTCCTGAATCTTGAGCCATGTATGGATTCCTTTTCATGAAAAAAAAACACTAGCAGAAGTTCTAAGTGCTGACTTAGAGTATTTTTATATTAATTTATTTCAATATGTGCAGACATTACAGTAGATATAAAACCTTTATGCTTACTATATTTCTGTGTGAAACCTAAACTCATTTACAAATAAAGTATAAGCAAAACCACAAAAGCAGTCAAGTTCAAATCAACAGTGAGTGAAGGTAGCAGATGGATTTTGCCAGGGCTACCTTGCTGCTCCAAATGGGCCCAGGCATGGTCCTGGTGGCTGTGGTGTGACACAGGCTGGTTTTCATGCAGCCCCCCCTGCAGTGGGCCTGCTCCCTCACCACTTGTCTCATCTGAATGACTCCGAAACCTTTGCTCCATCACAGCTCACTCTCTGCCCTCACTTATTTAGGTGTCAAATACACCTCTGTGCTTTTCTCGTTAGCCCACGACAATTAAAGCTGTGCTTTTTTGAACCTTCCTTGTCACATAGTTTTATGGTGTTAAAGACTCAAATTAGTAAATGGTTTTAGTCTTCGTGACGTGAAAATGTCTCGTTTGTAAATTATCACTGCAAAAAAGTTTTTTTAACCAACGAAATCAAAATGAGTACACTGACAGATATGGGACAATTATGGATGAACATTGTTATCTTAGTGTTAAGACATGCCAGCGTGGGTAGCTAGACATGTTAATGAACCCACTAAAATAAGGACTTTGATATTACTGTAGATGATGGATACTGAAAGTAATCACAAAACAAAATAGAGCTCTAAAATTGTATGTCCCTACTTGCCAAATGGCCATCTGACTATAATTCTGAATATACTTGTGTTCATTGTTTTTTTAAATTATTGTCAAGTTAAAAAGTTTCTGTGAAGAACTCACTGTCTCCCAAGAATACGTCTAAGGACACTCAAAGGTCTGAGGTACCCAATTTGAGAAACACTAATGTATTGGAAAAAATACTAAACCTTGAAGACCTGGGTACAAGCTACTGAATTGTTGTGAGAACTTAGGCAAGTTACTTAACCTGTCTGGGCATCAAATTCCTGATATGTGGACGACTTCAAGCCCGGGTTTGCTGGACTTCAGAGTCCCTGCTCTTCCTTCTTCAGTCAAAAGGCTCGGACTTTGAGTTTCCAGAATTCTGTGTTGGGCTTATATTTCAATCAATAGCCTCAGAAAATAGGGTTCTGACAAGAAATATTATGTGATGGTGGGCCCCAGGAGGGTCACATTATTCTTTGAGATTATACTGATTTTAAAGCCCTCACTTTTTTTCCTTATAGATTCTGATTCCCAGCATAGTCATGAAGTGATGCCTCTCCTCTATCCTCTCTTTGTCTACCTCCATCTCAACCTGGTCCAGAACAGCCCGAAGAGCACAGTGGAAAGTTTTTACAGCCGCTTCCATGGAATGTTTCTGCAGAACGCTAGCCAGAAGGATGTCATTGAGCAGCTACAGACCACTCAAACCATCCAGGACATCCTCTCTAACTTCAAGCTTCGAGCATTCCTAGATAATAAGTACGTGGTCCGTCTCCAAGAAGACAGCTACAACTACCTTATCCGCTACCTCCAAAGTGACAACAACACCGCCCTGTGCAAAGTCCTCACCCTGCATATCCATCTTGATGTGCAGCCTGCCAAGAGAACAGACTACCAACTCTATGCCAGCAGCAGCTCCTCGCGAAGTGAGGGCAACGGCTTAGAGCCTACTGACATGCCCGCCCCTATTCTGCAGAACGAGGCTGCCCTGGAGGTCTTGCAGGAGAGCATTAAGCGCGTCAAGGATGGCCCCCCCTCCCTCACTACCATCTGTTTCTATGCCTTCTATAACACAGAGCAGCTGTTGAACACTGCAGAAATCTCCCCAGATAGCAAGCTGCTTGCCGCTGGGTTTGACAACTCCTGTATAAAACTATGGAGTTTACGATCCAAGAAGTTAAAATCAGAACCCCATCAAGTAGACGTGTCCCGCATCCACTTGGCTTGTGATATTCTGGAGGAGGAGGTATGAATATCATTTTTTCTTCCTTACACCTGCCTTGCTAATTTGCTTAGAATATTCTTACCAAACATGACAGATCTTACGGAGAATAGACTTCATTATCTCCCTCATCATATAGCTAAAGTCAAACTCATGCCATGTAACCTGTAGCCATTGAATTCCTGCTCATTCCTAACCTTGGAAGAGATGAAAACTATTTTTAACAACATTAACTGAACATTATTAATGAATGGTCAGTATTTATTACTACCTGAAATGTGGATAAGCCTAATTAAAGACCTTTAGCTAATATTGAGATTTACAGTAAACGTGTGTGTGTGTACATTTGTGCTAATATAAACAATTAGAAGTAGGATTACTGGGTCAAACAGTCTACATTTTAAATTGTGATAAATATTGCTGTTTTCCAGTCTCATCAACAGCAAATGAGAACGCTGGTTTCTCTCCACCCTCACCAACACCAGGTGCTATCGGCCCTTCTGAGGCCAGTGCATGTCCTCTGGTTTCATGTGCCCAGGGGTGTTCCCATAGCCTGTTTTGAAAAGTACGCAGGAAATATACTTAACATTTCATCCATCAGTCAGTGCAATGATCTTGTTTGGTTTCTTCGGGATGGTTGTTGAAAAGGGCAGGCCAAGTGGCCTGAGTTTTGGGTCACTGAGAATCCCTGCCTTAGAAAAAATGTGGGCAAAATGAGAGACAAACTGAACTTCACAGAGTTACCTTTCCCTGAGAGTGGCCCCACAAAAACTGTGGGCTAGAATATTTTTGTCACATCACTGCTGAAATTCAAGTAGCTCTGCCTCAATTTACTTTTAGATGGAAAATTCTTTGTACAGGGTTGAAAAATTAAGGAGTAAAAAAAAAAATTCACTTGAGTTAAGTTCCAGTTGCTGATAAGGATATCAAGAATATTGGAAGCATACTTAAGCCATTTTTTCCTATACCTATTTTCTGAGTCACCTTCTAGTTAGTGTGTTAGTATGTTCTTTATTTCTTGCAACTGAGACAATGTAATTAGAGGAGTTTGTTATGGTGAGTAAAGAGTCTAAATTCCAATGTACAAACTTTGATTTCTAGAATTTTATAGTACCCTCCAAAATAGTTTTCATTGCACATGTATTTGAATTATCAAATTTCTCTTTTCTTTGGAGACAGTTCTAGCCTCTTGGGCATTCTTCACATACAACTGAGGGATACTGCCCTCATTTACTTTTGATTTTCTCTAAACACACAAAAAATTATTGCTACTGACCTTATTAGCTCTGTTGATACTGAATTTGAGGATTATTCTAGGCATTAAAAATTAATATAAAGGAAGGTAGCAAAGATAGATAGATACAAAGATGGAAAGAATATTAGACTTAAATGATCAGATTTCTGTTTTCTTTGGAGACAGTTCTATCCTCTTGGGGGTTCTTCACATACAACTGAGGGGTACTGCCCGCATTTACTTCAGATTTTCTCTAAATGCAAAAAAAAAATTATTGCTACTTGACCTTATTAGCTCTGTTGATACTGAATTTGAGGATTATTCTAGGCATTAAAATTAATATAAAGGAAGGTAGCAAAGATAGATACAAAGATGGAAAGAATATTAGACTAAAAAAATTTTGGGGCTGGCCCCGTGGCTTAGTGGTTAAGTGCGCGTGCTCCGCTGCTGGTGGCCCGGGCTCGGATCCCGGGCGCGCACCGACATACCGCTTTTCCGGCCATGCTGAGGCCGCGTCCCATATACAGCAACTAGAAGGATGTGCAACTATGACATACACTACCTACTGGGAATTTGGGGAGAAAAAGGGAAAAAAAGGAAGATTGGCAATAGATGTTAGCTCAGGGCCGGTCTTCCTCAGCAAAAAGAGGAGGATTGGCATGGATGTTAGCTCAGGGCTGATCTCCCTCACAAAAAAAAAAAATTTAAGTTCTCCCCTGACTACCACTGAAAACTAGCTCTGTGACTTGTTCCGTGAAGATTTCCAGGCAACAGAAGATGTGTATTTGAAGACCCAGAAGTGAAGAATAACAACAAATTCTAGGAGCTGAAAGAAATTAAATATGGCTGGAGAGGGGGGCAAGACAGGAAGCAGTGTGGTGCCGCTGTCTATGTGAGATTATGGTAGCCTAGCCCGAACTAGGGTGGTGGCCATGAAAGAGAAACACGGTGGGTAGACTGGACAAGAGCTCAGTTACTGGGTTAATGGAGGGGCTTAGGGAAAGGAAGAGTCGAGCATGACGTCTGTGTCTCAGGCTTAAACAACTGGGTGGGTGGTGGGAGATGCTGTCCACCTTGAAGAGAACAAAGGATGTCAGAGGAGCACTTGTTTTGTTTAAGTATCTTTCTGATTTATTTATCATTATCCATATTGAAAGTACTGTAGATTCTAGCCTCTGCTTTCCTTGAGAACAAATTTTTTTTTTTTAACTTTAGAACTGAAGTTGAGATCCTCCTATTCTGTCGTTGAGGGATTTCCTGTTGGCGATTTCTACACCCCCACCCATTTTGTCACAGCAGTTTGCGTTTTGGTTTCTGACAAAGAGAATTTTGGGGGGAAAAGCAAGGTATAAATTAGTTCTGGTAGTTGGTTTTTAGTGTTTCTTCATTTGGACTTTCTTTTTGCCTTGTGGAATTCGCAATTAAAATTGAGACTCTCGATGCAGAGGTCACAAACTCACATGCCTGTAGAAGCCAAGCAGGTAAAAGTAAACGGGGAAGCCACCTGGGTCACAGAGATGGCAGGAAGCAAGAGAGCACCATGTAAACCAAGTGGAAAAGCCAGTTTGCAATCTCTGCTTTAATCTTTGTGAAGCAGTAACTGTTGCATAAATTAGTGGATAAAATATTTTAACAGTAGATATTTAAAACAGCAGTGAGACCCAGAAATTCCATTATTTGGTATGTACCCAAAAGAATTGAAAACATATGTCCACACAAAAACTTGTACACGAATGTTCATAGCAGCATTATTCGTAATAGCCAAAAACTAGAAACACCCCAAATGTCCATCAGCTGATGAGTGGATAAACAAAATCTGGTCTGTTCATACAAGGGAGTGAAGATATGTGATATATGATACATGTTATAATGTGGATGAAGCTTGTAAACATTGTGTTAAGTAAAAGAAGGCAGTCACAAAGGATCACATATTGTATGATGCCATTTACAGGAACTATCCAGAGTAGGCACATCCATGGAGACAGAAAGTAGATTACTGGTTGCCAGGGGCGGGGGACAGGGGACTAGGGAATGACTGCTAATGGGTACAGGGTTTCTTTTTGAGGTGCTGGAAATGTTCTGTACTAGATAGCGATGATGTTGCACAACTCTGTGAATATACTAAAAACCTTGAATTGTACACTTGAAAGGAGTGAATTTTATAGTACGTGAATTATATCTCAGTTTTAAAAATATATATATCTTAATTTTATATCTAGGATTTAAAAAAATCAAAAACAGTAACCAGAAGTTCCTATGAAGGCATAAAATTTTCTCTATTAATTATGCCAACTAAAACTGGATTTATAGCGCTGCCCTGTAGCTTCTGTTATCTCCAACTTGAAGACAGCCTAGATTAACCTTTGAAAATGTGTGAACTGGCATCCGGTTCTCCTCTGCTCACCCAGTACCAGCAGCCCTTCCTCATGCTTGAGACATTAGAAGTGGAAAGCGAGGCCTGCACTCTCCATTCTTTGTTCCACATGAAGTGGAGATAGAAATGAGATCCAGCTTTTACCCTTGTTGATTGGTACCTATGTATTTTTAATATTTGAGCAACAGGGAAAAACCACACCACATCAAGGATTTGCTCTTCTTTTCAATTATGTGTACACGACCACCCTCATTCCTACCAGCCTCCCACCTCCTCAGCCCCCCAATACAACGCTTGTATTCTGTTCATTTAATGTCTAGTAATTCTTCCCCCAGTCTGCTCATCTTTAAGTTTGAAAAGTGAAGTCAGTGTTGTCAGTAGTATTCAGTCCTGTAATTTGTATGTAAAACTGTCATATAGATCTATGCTGGCCACTCAGAATATAATACAATCCATATACGTTATTTGAATTTTTCTAGTAGCCTCATTAAAAAAAGCAAAAAGAAATAGTCAAAACTAATTTTAATAATGTATTTTATTCAATCCAAAATGGCCAAAAGATCATTTCAACACGTAAGCAGTATAAAAAATGTATTAATGAAATCTGTTACATTCTCCTTTTTTGTCCTAAATCTTGGAAATCCAGTGTGTATTTTACCTTTCATCACATGTCCATTCACACTAGCCAGTAGCCACCTTTTCTGTTCTAGTTCAGGCTCCTGTCATCTCTCACACAGATAGCAGTGCCTCACTTGCCTCCAAGTCTTAATCCAGCCCCAAGCCCGGCCATACTTAATTTCTTTCAGTTCCATTGGCAACTAATTGAGGAACAGCCCAAGGCTAAATTGCAACTCCAGAAAGTACCCCTGATGTAGGAAAGACTGGAGTGTGAGCTGAAGCACCTGGAACATCCTGGCCCAGGAGCAGACATCCCTAACAAGTGTTAGATTTTTAGAGACTCCGTGGTCTAAAGCAGGGGTCGGCAAACTATGGCACAGAGGTGCATAAGACCATGTTTGAAGATCTGTTTATACTTATTTTCCTTATTTTTAAATTTCTATTTTATGCATGTTTTATAGTGTACATAATATAGTTTATTATTACATGAATATGCTTTACAAATTAAAAATTCCTATTTGGGATTCATGCCCATTTACTGTGGGGTGTTCCATCAAAATTGTAAGGAGTTTTGGGGTGTTGTCCTGTTAGCATGAGAGGAAGGAGAGAGAGAATGTGTGGGACTAGGCATGTGTGAATCAGCTGTTTGTTCAGGGTTTCGGCTCAACTCTGCTGAGGCCCTTGTGGGACTGGGTTGAGCCACAGAAGAAAGCGTGGCTGGGTTATTTTAAGCTGTGGTCCTGGCAAAGAGCTGATAGTGATAGCCAGCAGGAATGTTCTGGTTTCCCCATTTCTTGGTCTATAGAGTCAACTAGGCGTCTTTCCACGGGCCAGGACAATCATCAAGACCCCTGGGAAGTGCCAGCTTGACTCCTGGTGTACCCTCCCCTCTCCGTCTCTGAGCACACTGTTTAAGTCCTCACCAGGGAGCTGAAGACCCACCTTCCATATCTTCCTGCTCCAAATGAAGACCCACCTAAGCCTCAGAGATAGTAACGTGCCCTTTAATTTGCTGTTAACTTTCAAAGGATCGTTGTATAATTCATCTGGGGTCGTTTGTTGCTCCCACAGTTATTATATAAACTTCCTCGTGTAGAGCAATGAGTCATTCTTGAAATTTTAAAGTGTTGTTGTAACCTCTTTGGAAAGGAAAATTACTAATATTCTTGGTGACACTCAGTAGAACCTTAAGCTCCCAAATTCTATGAATTTTTAATGTTCAGTGTCTGGAATAGCCAATTTGGATGTTCATGGACATCAATGTTTATATTCTCTTTACTTTTTCTCAAATATGTACACATTGAAGGTGTTGCTTTTATTTGGAATTTAATAGTTTTCAAATAGAAGTTGAAAGGATGCCCTTTTCCTGTACAAGAACCTAAGGCTCACAAAGATATTTATTTCTAAGCCAAAGAAGCCAACTGGTTCAAGAATCTTAATTTTACTCCTCATTCTTCTAGTGTTTAATTAAAACCCATTTTAATTTATGAATTCCAGGGTAGAGACAGCCGTAGTTTTAAGGAGCTTGTCTGTGGGGGAATGAAGGGAAAATGGATTTTGAACACAGACAGTGTACTTGTGGGGAATAGAGTGAGGAAGGGGACTTTCTCGCCCAGTACCATGAGCGGCTGGTCGTCTTTTCTGTCCCCACACACAAAAATTTATTTCCAAGAATCACATGAGTCACTTGGCTTTGTTTAAAGCAATTCTGAATCCATGCCTTGTTTTTTACTTTGGGAAAATATTTGAGACCCTCCGGAAAGTCACGGTTTTAAAACTTCATCTTTGTTTCTTTTTGGAGACCAGTGGTTTATGCCTGGTCACAGGGTGTGAGTGTAATTTGTTGGTAACTGCACCTTTCTGGCTTACTATTAAGTCTGATAAGTCCAAGTTTTATTTTGGCTAAACTCCTACAATAGTTCTGTATTAATCTTGAAGTGAGACCACATCTGCCTTCATTATTGAGCCCAGTTGTGTGAGTAATGAACATGTCAGGATTTTTCTTAATGGACTAGAAACAGGCAGCAATGTGGCTTGTAACAAAGCAGCTAAAACTGACGGATGAAGACATGCCCATAGAATAAAAGAATCTAAGGACTCAACATAAATTCAAAAGTCCATCTTTTCGAATGACATACACCAGAATTAACAATGAAAGTTACTGTGGGGTAGCTTTTAATCAGCTTTTGAAATCTGTGTTATCCTCAACCTACGACTAAGGTCCACAGTCATTCCTCTATGACAGCCTGGCATTTCTGCATCTTTTGATTTGGATTTGCTATAGTCTTAGCTGCAAGAGAATTTAAGGAAAGCAATTTGTGAGTTGTTAGAGACTTTTTTTTTCAATTATGCTATTGTGAGTTGTTTTCCTGTGGTCAGGCTTAAGGGCAAGACCACTGTCATTTACTGGGTAGATGCTATTTCCCAAGCAGTGTCTTTTTTTTTTTTTTTCCTGGACTTTTTGTTTTCCATGGCAGACCACTAAACATTTTTTTCTTGTGTGTCTCCTTTGCCATCTCCACCCCAATGTTCCCAGGATGATGAGGATGATAACGCAGGCACAGAGATGAAGATACTGAGGGGACACTGTGGACCAGTGTACAGCACGAGGTTCCTCGCAGACAGCTCAGGGTTGCTCTCTTGTTCTGAAGACATGTCCATTAGGTACTGGGACCTCGGGAGTTTCACCAACACTGTGCTGTACCAAGGACATGCCTACCCTGTGTGGGACCTGGACATTAGCCCATATAGCCTGTACTTTGCCAGCGGGTCCCATGACCGCACTGCAAGGCTGTGGTCATTTGATCGGACGTACCCGCTGAGAATATATGCAGGACACCTGGCAGACGTGGACTGTGTCAAATTCCACCCTAATTCAAACTACTTAGCTACAGGCTCAACCGACAAGACTGTCCGGCTGTGGAGTGCTCAGCAGGGGAACTCGGTGAGGCTCTTCACAGGCCACCGCGGCCCTGTGCTTTCTCTTGCCTTTTCTCCCAACGGTAAGTACTTGGCATCAGCTGGCGAGGACCAGCGGTTGAAGCTATGGGACTTGGCTTCGGGGACCCTTTATAAAGAGTTAAGAGGCCACACGGACAATATCACCAGCCTTACCTTCAGTCCGGACAGTAGTTTGATTGCCTCTGCATCCATGGACAACTCGGTGCGAGTCTGGGACATTAGGAACACTTACTGCAGTGCACCTGCTGATGGCTCCTCCGGTGAACTTGTGGGTGTATACACCGGGCAGATGAGCAATGTACTGAGTGTGCAGTTCATGGCCTGTAACCTTCTTCTAGTGACTGGAATCACACAAGAAAATCAGGAACATTAATTTTTTATCTTTGTTGTAACGGACTGGGGCATTGGTGGAAGGCCTCCAGATTGCAAGTCTTAGACAAACTGAGATTGAATCACTGACTGACTGTGAAAGATTCCCCACTTCTCCTACTTCTCCTGTGCAGACATCCTGAGCACATTACCCCTTCACCAGCCCCCCAAATGTCGAAGGACCTGGGGGGTAGGAAAGGCGGTGATAAGTGGACTTGAGATCAAGAATTAAGATGCTCTGGAGGTGAGATTGCAATTCTTACAAAGATCCCACTGTGTCCTCGTGCAAGCACCTTCTTGTCTCTTTCCCGTTTGTAAAACCGAGATGCTGCTTACCTCGCTGGGTGCTGCATTTGGTCCGAGGATGGTGGCAGAGCACTCTCACAAGGAGCAGTGCTACAGGGTCACGTGTTATCAGTCACTCGGGTGGAAGGGAATCTTTATTGGTGTAGGAATGTGGGGTGGGAACTAGGAAGGGGGGGGGATAATCCTGGCAAAAAGTCTTTCCTTTTCCATAATTAAAGAGAACCAGGATTTTTTATTATTGTTATTATAATTATAATTATTATTATTGAGAAGAGGAAACCTAGCACTGGCAGAGGGGCCTTCTCTGCTCTCATCTTTCAGGTTTTACTCCTGGCACTGGCTGTGATACTTGGAATTTTGAGGATCAGGGAATTCAGAGAATTTGGTAGCACAGTGTATTGGGAGAAAGGGAAAATTTCTGGGTGACAGATTGATCACTCCAGCTGACATGTTTCTAGAAGTGTGTGGGTGGATTTGATTGAGAAAGTCTTGGGCTCTTGCAGTGATGGTCGGAAGGAAAGATTCTTTTCATGGCTGCACTTCTATTAACAGTTCTCTCCCCTGAAAGGACAAGTTGTGGTAAAGAAATGAAAATAATTTAAAGTGATAAGTAAAAGATAGATTTAGAAAATGTTGAATTTCCAAATGACCGTTTATTCAGAAGTGTGGCTTTTTCAACGTCTTTTTCTCCTGAGATCATCCACTCCCACCTCCTGCATTGCAATAGCAGTTTAATGAACACTTTGTGAAACAAATCATAAGTACGTACGCACGCATATAAAACTATGCTTTGAGGATAAAGCAAGTTCTAATTTGTGGAAAAAGGATTAAATATTTCTGTTTTCTGAAAAGAGTTATTTTGTATTTTGTTTTCTATTAAAATGTATTTAGTTTCAAAAAAAAAAAAAAGTGTTGGCATCTCATTTAAACTGTGAGGACAGGCGGGTGTGTGGTCTGTCCTTGGGTGACGTGTAGCTCACCTCTCATACCAGCCCCAGTGGAGGCGCATTCTAATCTGTTCTTGTATGCTGTTCAGCTTACTCTGAATCATGACTCCTCTCTGCATTCATGTGGATCACTGATAGTATTTAATACTGTTTATACATCCAAGATTGCCAGTTGCTGACCGGAGCCAACATGTATTTTACCATCTAGAGTTATTTGGTAAGATCCTACTTCCCGTTTTCTTTAAAGACCCTATTATAAAATCTCTAAGGGACATAAGAACTGTGTTATTTAATTAACCAAGTATTTATTGAACAATCCCAGAAAAAGGACTCATTTGAGGATTTAAATAATGCCAGAATTTTAAAAATGTACTTTGAAACATAATTTTCTGACAAGGACACCAAAAATTATCAGAAAATTAATAGGAAGACTCTAGATTTCTATGCCAAAAAATTTTTTTTCACTTGAGCCTAAGATGCTAATTAATAGGAAATATTTCTTATTGATAAAAATCCACATATTTGCGATATTGTAAGAAAGATCCTTCGGTAACTTAGCCAGATAGCATCACCTTCCACATGGTCTACAGGTAAAGCCTAGAATTCAAATGTGTTCTTATCTGTAATAAGTGAATTCTTCAGTTAGATTGTGTGGTATATTGCTAGAAACAATGAAATCCCTAAATTGGGCTGGATCATTCTCAGAAGTGAAAATATCACTGATCAGGGGTGATTTGGAAAGGTTTTGTTTGTTTTTTTAATGCAGAATTTCTTTGATTAAACACAAAAATGTATTAGGTTTGCTAGTCTTCATGTTACCAATCATGTATGTACTTGTTGATTTCAGTTCAAGCTCTTAATGATCTGCATATTTGGCTTTTTTTTCTTTTGTCAACTAATTTTAATGGGAGGTAATTTAACTTTATAGAATGCCCCTCACAACTTCCCCAAAATGTTAGAAATATTATAAGAGGTATGTATGTGTGTGTATGTCCATAAGGGTGCATAAGAACATGGTTACACTCTTCAGGTTGCTCTGTTACATTGTTTTATTTTATCTCCAGAGCAATCCTGTGAGGCTGAGAGGACTGGTGATATTACCATTTTTTAAGTGAAATACCTAAAGCCCAGAAAAACTGTATTATCTATCTACACCCCACATGGAATAGTCACATGTTTTGGATGTGTTAGATAGAGGATCTATATTCAGTATCCTCAAGTTCTAACTAGAGGATATAGCCCTGAATATAGAAAAACTATTTTAAAAAACCCTCCAAAAAGGAAATATGACTATAAATAGATTCTTTAACAAGCATATATATAGTGCTTACTATCTGCCAGAAACTACTCCAAGAGCTTTATGAAAATTAACTTGTTTTATCTCCATAAGAACGCTATGAGGTATCCCCATTTTGCAGATGAGGAGTCTGAGGCACTGATAAATTGTCACTTGCCAAAAAGGTCACACGGCTACTAATCAATGAAGCCAGAATGTGAACCTGGGCATTCTGGCTCCAGAGTCCGTGTTCTCCATGCTGTCTCCCTTCATTCCTGCAGTTGTAGTAACTAAATGTTCCTGCAGTAGTTATAAGACTTGTGCTTCTCTTTGCCAAATAAATGAACAGCCACAAATAGCATCAGGAACTGGCAGTAAGAATAAACTTAAACAATATATGGCCAAAAGAAACTTAAGAATAGTTATTTTGAACCACAGTGATATAAAGGTGGAGGGGGGAAACAGCTGAAATTTCTTAGATTGACAGGCTCAGAAAATCTGACTGTAATTTTAATTTAGAAGTGGACTGCCAAACAAAAGAGAGAGAAAGTTAGGATAAAGGGAAGTAATGAAAAGAGATGAAACAGGAAACAATTTAAAGTTTTTATATTCAAGATCCAAATTCTAAGGATATCCGTGATTTAGTCATGTATTAAAAATGTCTTGGTTGTATAAAAAAAAATCTACTAAGTATATAGGCTTCTAATTTTGCTGTTGCCCAGACTGGTATTTAAGTATATGGATTAAAAGATGAATCTGTACTTCAACTTGTCTTTCAGTTGTATGTTTTAGAAAAATGTCCGTTATATCTATGCCCAGCCCACACCAAAAATTCACATTATTGACACCTACATAGCAGCCAAATGACTCTGAAACTGCTTTGTGGTAAACAGAAATCTTCATTACAGAATTTAAGGAATGCAAATGTTCCTTGTCAATTTGAGCCATTGAATGACACCTTAGATACTTTCCTATGATTGACTGAAATTCCTAAAAGAAATATTTTTATGTTAAATATCTGAGTGTCTGTTATGATCAGACATTGTGTTAGTGGGTGGAAAGCAAAACTGATATAGTGCCTGGCTTAAGTTTATAGTTTAGAGAGGGAGACAGATATTAATCAAGTAATACCATAAATAAGTATATAATTTCAAACCATAGTGAGTGCTATACTGGATCCTATGGAAGAATATACCCAGGGATCTCATTTAGATTAAGCATTCAAGGCGGGCCTCCCTGAAGAAGTAATAATCTGAAACCTGGAGGATAAGTAGGAACTAGCCAGTTAGAGTTCAAGAAAGACTGGTGCAGACCCCCAAATGGGAAAAAACCCGGTACACTCAAAGAAGTCCGGGGGGGTGAGGCAATGTGAATAAGGAAAAGAACAACATGACATGAGTTTGGATGATTGGCAGGGCTTTGGGCACTGTCAGGAGTTTGGCTTTTATCCCATATGGGATGGAAGCCATTGAAGGGTGTAGAATAGGGAAGTGATGCAGTCCAGTTTCCACTTTAGTGTCACTGGCAACAGGAGGACATAGACAACATTTACAACTGGAATTCCACTTCAACCTCAGGGTAACTAAGCAACATGTACTGAACCCAGTCTGTGCCAAGCACTGCAGGGCAGAGCTAAGTGATGGAAGCCAGCTGCCATGGGGAGTGGTCTCTGGAGCAGTGAACTGAAAGCGGCCTCCAGCCAACATCCCGTGAAGACCTGAATCCTGCCAACAACCACATGAGTGAGCTTGGATGCAGATCCTGCCCTGGTTGAGCCATCAGATAAGACTGCAGCCCTGTCTGACACCTTGATTGTAGCCTCCTTGAGACAGAGGCATCCAGCTAAGTCTGCCCAGATTCCCAACTCACAGAAACTGTGAGATGTTAAATGTTGTTTTAAGCCACTAAGGTTTGGGGTAATTTCCTGTGTAGCAATAGATAACTAGCCCATCTGTCCTACTCCACAGTCCATTGTTTTAACTGCTACACTAGAGAAAATTAATTACTGATTTTTAAAAAAGTCACTGCAGCTCTAAGGAACATAGATTGAGGGTGTGAGTGAGAATAAGGAGGCCAGTTAAGATCATTGCAGTCATCCAGGGGAGCGGTGAGGGCAACATGGACTAGAGTGGCCGCAGTGGAAATGGAGAGAAGTGGACAACTCCAGTGAGTATGTGAGAGGTGGATTTGGCTGGACTTGTATTGGGTTGGATGGGGAGTAAAGAAGAAAGAAATCATGGATGACCCACATGTTTCTGGCATAAGCAATTTGGTAGATAGGATTGCCGTTCATTAGGATGAAAATACTAGAGGAAGATGAGGTTTGGAGGAAAAGATCAAGTGTTCAGTTTTGGACCTCTTAAGTTTAGGGTGCTTATGACAACCAAGTGAAGATATCAGACAGGCATTTGGATGGACATGCTGGAGCTCAGAAGAGAGGTCTGTGCTTGACATGCTAATTTGAGAGTTCTATTTGTTAGAATGCTTTCTGCTACTAGGGACAGAAATCTGACTCCAAGTGGTTTTAAGAATAAGGAATTTTATTGATTCACATAACAAAGTCTAGAGGTCAGGTAGGTTTCGTGTGCAACTCACTAAGGGCCCCGCCTCGGTTCTGTAACTCCCCTCTGCTCTCTTCTGTGGTTGGCTTTATCACAGGCTGTCTTTTCCCATGGTTGTGAGAGGACCACTGAGAGCAGTGAAGGCCAGACACCCCTTCATTCATGTCTAGTGGGAATTTGAGCTTACTTTCCATTCCTTGTTCTTAAAAGCAAGTAAAAAAATTTCTAGAAGCCCTATTAAACCTCTCCAATTTGGATTAGGCCTGCTAATCATTGAACCAATCCGTGACAAGGACAAGAGTCGTTGGCCTGTAGTTGGAATTTGAAGCCTTGGGAATAGATGTGATTACCAAGGATAGGAGCCTAGAGTGAGAGGAGATGGGGGCTTCGGGCTATGCCTTGAAGTTCTCCAACATTCACAGGTCAGAAAGGAGGAGCAGCCAACAGAGGAAGAAAAACAGGAGAGGGCACTGCCCCAGAAGCCAAGAGGAGAAAGTACCTCAGGATGGGAGTGGTCAGCTGTGCTGATGCTACTGAGAATTCAAGTGAGGTAAGGACTACAAGATATCCACTAGATTTGAGGGGAGGTGGCTAACAGCACTAGCAGTTATAGCTGAGTGATGGAAATGGAAAGAGCATTGAAATGGGTGGAAAAGTAGTAGAAACACAAATATGGGCTCTTCATTTATGACAGGTGACACATACACCAATGGAGGAAGGACAGACTTTTTACTATACAGTGCT